AGAACAGCACTAGACAGCTTTCCAGAACAGCACTACAGAGTGTTCAAACACAAGTCTATGGGGGATATTTTACATTCAAAACACAACAATGTCCTTAAATAAAAGAGACCTGAAGAGAGATCCCCGGAATCTTCACACAGTGAGAAGACCACAGCTGAGTATACAGAATAATAATTTAAAAATTAAAAAAAAAAAAGCAAGCTCTTGCCAGATCTTGAATTTGTCAGCATTTTGGCCTTGGATTTTCTGAGTTCTAGAACTGTGAAAAAGAAAATTATGTAGTATATAGATACCTGAGCCTGGTATTTTGTTCTATTAGCCCAAGCTAGCTATGAATAATTATCAGAATGTTGCCAAAAAAGAGCACCATGTGCCAGGAAGTGATAGAGCTTTTGATTCAGAGCCAAGCCAGGCATTAGAAGCTGCTGGACTTGCTATAGACTCCAATCTAAACAAAGGTCAACCTAGTCAAGAGGGTGGAAACCAGAAAGACAACTTGGGACCAGAAGGCCACACAAGAGTGGGAAAAAGACAGATATCCTATGTTATCATTAGGATCCAAGAGCTATGCGGAACATTCCTGGAAGGTATGGCAAACTTTCCTCATCTCTGGAACTCTTGTGATAACAGTACATTGCAAGACAAGTCATAAATAATGATGCTGGATTAATAGGTCAGATGAGCCTCTGGCAGTCATCTCCATTCATTACTGAAACTTAATTGTTTCATTACATCTGTAGCTGTTATCCACAGAGTTTAATGTGATAGTATCTTATTACTATGACTGCATTGTGATCACATAGTCTTTTGACATTGCTAACTGTATTTTATTACATACCCTTAATTAGCCTATCATTCTCAAGTTTGCAAAATATTTCACCTGGAATACCAATATGCTGAATGTATGGTGTTCTGACACATTACAAATCTCCCTCTTTAGTAAAAGTTGAGATATTACAATCGGTAGCTTTAAATAGTGAAGTAAATAAATGAAAAACACGACACTAGTATTAAGAATCTAGACACTATTGGCCTTAAACTCTAATTCACAAGTTTTTTTAACCTCTTAAGATAATTGACTTTAAAATGAAAACAGGATTTCAAGGAGTAAGAAAAACAGCATGAAATTCAAATGTTTCCTTACATCCATAATGATAAGAAATTCTAACTAATCTGTCACCAGTGGTGGTTTCTAAACAGCTCTGAAGGCACAAACTGACCTTAGAGGATCTTTGCAGGTAGGTTAATTTGAAATGCCTCCCTCCACAATTTTATACATGCTACTCACCACAGCTCTCTGCTTTCTGTTTCCTTATTTCAGTCCCATGGTTGTTATAATAGTTCTGAAATATCCAGAAAGAGATGGGCTAATGCAAAGAATTTATATCTTTCTTACTAACTTAGTTAATCTTCTATTAAAAAATTATCAGCATTGATGTTTTAAAAATTAAGGTACTAAAATAGCAAATGCTATTATTACACTTATTTCAAGTAATTGCTTTTAGACAACACAGGAAGTTGAAATTATGCATTTCCAGGCTTTTCTTACGTGTGTGTGTGTGTGTGTGTGTGTGTGTGTGTGTGTGTGTGTGTGTGTGTTGTGTTGTATTGTTTGTTTTTAGACACTGTTAAATGAGAAATCTTCCCCAGTTTTCCTATGTGGTATTCCAGTTTGAAGCCCATGAGAACACATAAAAAGGCTAAGGGAACGATGTAGAAAATACACACAAATAAAATTGAAGCCAAGAAGAAAGGCTGAGAGCCCTGGGGTTCTTAGTGCTGTTCACAGAATCCACCTCCCTGCCACTGCCCTTAGGGCGCCAATCTGTGGCGGATTGTTATTTAAAAGCCCAGCTTTGCTCCCATGTCCCTTGACACTCATCCAATTTACCAGTGGAACAGATGACCCCTTGGCAGTCCTGACTGCCAAGGTTGAGTAACAAAATGCTTGCATCGGATTCTCTTGGGACATTGTCTTGGAACAGTGCCACCAGGCTGACACAAGGCCACACGGCAGTGGAAGGAATCCATGGTCCTGACCCCAAACCCCAGCTTCCAGCTGATATCTAGATGGAGGTACTGACCGTGTATGAAGTGAGACATTGAAGTAGCTTCTCCTGGTCACCATCAACACAGTCCAAGTGACACTTCCTGGGACAGATAAGCTGTTCACACTGAGCCAGGCCCTACCTGCATAGTGAGGAGCCAGATGAGTGACTGACACTTTAAGCCATTGTGCTTGGGGACTGATAAAAACCAGAAGTACACTGGCAGCCAGGTGGTCCTGTAGAAACGTTTTTTAGGTTGTGTCAGCGTCAATGAGTACTGGCTGCTCTCACACCTTTCGTCTTGCTCCCTTCCTGTGTTTCATAACATCTCTTCTGCTTTCTTCCCTGCAAGAACTCAACTCCGTTCATTTTCTCTCCCTTTTAGTATTTCTCTCAACCTGGAGAGAATCAATCATTTTGCAAACAATTTGCTAACCCAAGAAGATGTAACTTTTTTCTTGGTTGGGACTGTCCTGTTTCTGTAGGGAGCTGTTTTTACCTATGCCAGCCTCACCATGAACCAGGTTCAGGAGAAATGAAATTATCACACTCGAGTCAAATGCCTGAGTAGCTGTGCTTGACAATAGTCAAGAGTAACTGTCACTCAAAGAGGAGAGCAGTGGCCATGCCACCTCACCAGGCTCTTCTAGATCCAAGGTTTATGTGTGATCTGTTCATTTCATATGCATTGTCAATCAACAAACCTGGAAGGCTATCATACTATAGCGATAACTAAAATTGTAGAGACAAAGCCTCTTAATTACCTAACAATTTAGGACTCACTACTGTATTTTGTCCTTTGTGCTAAATAATAAAAATTAAGAAAGATTGCTAAGACTAAAAGATTACAGGGAGAAAGAGGAGAAGGAGAAGGAAGAAGGCAGCATTTGATTGGTTCTCAACTACTAACATGTATTGTTGCAAAGACAGCCAGCATTTCCCTGTAAGCCTTTTCAAGTCATGTTCTGGGCAGGTGGTGTTCCATGTGTAATGCCAGCACATGGGAGGCAGAAACAGGAGATCCCAGAGCAAGCTAGCTGGCTGGACTAGAAGAATGAGTGAGCTCTGGATTCAAGTGAGAGACTCTGCCTTAGCATCGTAGGAGGAGAGAAATCAAGAAATCACAGAAGACACTCAACAACCACCTCAGGCCCCCATGTGCACACCTATGCATGAGCAACATGTCTACACACATGTAAATTTGCATACACTTTGCATGCATATCACATACATGTGCAAAAAAAGACTGAATTTCAAAGATATTCTTTGTAAAACAGATAGCTACTGAAATGTGTCACCTACTTTGGGTGTCTTCAGATAATGAATTGTTTCAGTATGAAGTCTTACCACCCCAGGTAAGTCATTTAACTCTGAGATACATTTTCTCATCTGTAGACTCAGAGGACTGACCAATCACTGTGGTGCTCTCACCTCTACAACCATTTTAAATTCCTCATTATGAAATATGGAAGTACATCTTTTTGAGTAGCATGAATCTTTGAAGCATCTTCCAAACATAAATGATCATCCTTCCAAATAAAGTTTCAAAGTTAAAATCATAAATTTTGAAGGAAAAAATGTTATTGCAAGAAAAGGGGAAAAATATCTATGCTTTTGAGCATCTACTTTGGTAGGTGATAGGCATCTTCTTTAGCCTATATACCACCCCTGGGCATTACCTCTACAGAAGGAAACAGTACTATTTACAAAACCAGTTAACTGTCTCCTGAGTCTAGAACAAGGAAAACTTGGCAATAGTGATACTTCATTGGTATTATCTGGAAGAGACTAACAGATGAAAATATGGAAGATATGAGGATTAAGTTAACCAGAATAATTAGATCAAAAGTTCATATTTGGGGGTCAAGTATACCAATCACGCTTTTCTAATAAAGTTTTATTGGGACAGTCATATTGTCTATGGCTCTTTTTGCCTTGCTGATCCTAGAAGAGTAATATGCTTGTGTGCTTAGAACTTATTCATGTATACCTTACACACACACACACACACACACACACACACACACACACACACACTGCTACCTTTACTTGAAAGCGCTGAAGGAAAACTTCATATTGAGCTAGTTGAGTCTGATTGCTCCTAACTTTGTTCAAGCTCATTGTTGTTCCTTTCCTATCATCGCTAACAGACATTAGTCATTACACAGTAAAAATACAGGTGTGTGTGTGTGTGTGTGTGTGTGTGTGTGTGTGTGTGTGTGTGTGTGCGGCAAGTGGGAGCATGCTTTTTCCACTCTGATCCTTTCCAAATAGCACCAGATATTTTCTTATCATATAACCCATGCATAATACTAGATGATCTCAAAGGAGGAACTAGTTTCACATTCCAGAAGACAAACACTTAAAGTCAGATGGGTACTTAACAGAGTTTTAAAGCCAAAACTATTTCTGTAAAGAAGAAAATACATTTTACTTGAAATATAATCTTTTTATAAGTTGGAGATTATGTGCATATACTTGCACATATACATATATGTGTGTACAAATATATACATACATGTATATATCATAGATCACACACTCCAAGTGTACAAGTTCCTGGTTTTCAATATATTCAGAGTTGTGCCATTGTTAAAAGGTTTATTAGTAGTCATTCCGTTTTCCTCTCAATTCTCCCAGCACTATATAGAAATGTGTTTTTCTGAATGACACAACATGAAATTACACAATAAGTGGCCTTTTCTGTCACAGAATACTTTGTGTTCATCCATATCATATGTAACATGTACCTCATTTCTTACTATTGAGCAATAGTCCATTGGGTGGATATTTCACATTTATTCACTTTTTAACTGGTGAGATATTACAAATAATGTTGCTATTAATATCCAAGTACAGGTTTTTATAAGGGTTTCTCCATTGCTCTCGGTTATTCTTCAATAGTCCTTTCAACATCTTTGTGTCTACATTAACATTTATTATCTTTATGACTCCTGCCATTCTCATGGGTATAAAGCAGTATCTCACTGTAGAATTAGTTTTCATTTTTCATACTATTATTAAATTTTTGTATATCTTTAGAGAACTGCCAAATCCAAAGTTCTGAACACTATTAAAATTGGGTTATCTTTTTCATATTGAGTTATAACAGCTCTTTATATATTCTAGCTACATATTCTTCCCTAAATAAATGATTTACAAAAAAAATCTGATTCTCTGGGTTCTTTGGAAGTGTGCGTTTTTATTTTGTAGCAGTTTCCTTGGAAACTCCAAAGTTCTTAATTTTTATTTTGTCCAGTTGGTCTATTTTTTTTCTTCTGATGCTTGTGATTTTTGCTTCAGTTACTTAATAAACCATTGCCTAATTCAAACCCATGAAGATTTATGCTTTTGTTTTATTCTCAGATTTTTACAGTGCTAACTCTTTTTTAGAATTTTTTTAGATGCGTCCTTAGTCAGTTCTTATATCTTCTATGAGGCAGTGATCCAACTTCATTGTTTCTGGTTATTCGTGTTTACAATCATCATTTGATGAACAGGTATTTCTCTTCACTGAATTGTCTTAGCACACTTTTTAAAAGGCAATGGAACAAATATGAGTGTCACTTCTAACCTCTCAATCTTATTACTTTTTTTCTTTTTGATGCTGTTGACATTGTTTTTGTTTTTTCTTTTTGTTTTGTTTTGTTTTTCGAGATAGGGTTTCTCTGTGTAGCTTTGCACCTTTCCTGGGACTCACTTGGTAGCCCAGGCTGGCCTCGAACTCACAGAGATCCACCTGGCTCTGCCTCCCGAGTGCTGGGATTAAAGGCGTGCACCACCACTGCCCGGCTGACATTGTTTTTCTAAAGCCACTTTTGGTTCACTCATTCATACTTTACAGAAAGGCAAATAATGTAAGTTATTCCTGATTCTGCAGTTTTTCCAAATTGATAAATTCAGATATTTTCTTTTGTATTCTTTTCACTGTGTCTTTGGGTTTCCTACGCAGTTCTTGGAAATTCTATGCAAATAGAGTTCATTTTCTTCCTTTCGAGTACAGATGTTTTTTATCTTATTTTGTTGCCTAATTGCCATGGCCTAACCCCTCAATACAGATTGAATCACTGTGGCCAAGTGACACATTCCTGTCTTACTTGTGGTGTTAGGTGAAAATCATTCAGTATTTTGCCATTAAATATGATACACGTTGTGGGTTTTTCATGGCTATCTTTTATAAGGGCATCCCTTTCTAGTCTTTGTTTGTTATGTGTTTTGTGGTGGGTTTTTCTGTTTTGTTTTTATTGTGAAGGGGTGCTAGAGTTTTTCAAACACTTTCTCTGCTTGTAATAAAAGGATAACGAGGACTGTGAATTTATTGTATCAATTCTCTTTTCCAAAAGTTCAAGAGAAAATAATTTTCAAAAAAATTTTACTAAATAGATCATAACTTTACAAAAGGCATGAAACATTACTTTTGCAATTGTAGACATGTCAGTCTAAACATGTCTAGCAGAATCAATTTGAAAAATACAAAAATATAACTACATGCAATTTTTCTGGCAAAAAAAATAGTAGAACTGCATTTGCTGATATGTTCTTATAAGAAAGAAGAAGCACAATAAATTAAACTATGATCATCATCACTTTTACACACAAAAAAATACACAATAGACTTATTAAAGGTCTCTGTAATGACTGACATTGTCTACTCCAAAAGTTTTACTAAAATAGAGATTTGAGTTTCAAAAACACCATTGCATTAACTTACTCAAAACATATGCTTCATGTTTTAAATGAGTTATACTCAAAACATAAAACTTCATGCTTTAGCCCATCAATAAGCAAGTTTGTCATACACAAATTGACAGCTTTGATGCCTAGAAAAATGAATTCCCATTTATGGCTTGATTGTGCTCTGTGTATTAAATACAATGCCTTCTGCTTTAATCCGCTCCAATATTGGCCCATAGATCTCCTTTGTAAATGGCCCCATTAGGCCTTTGGCTTCAATTTCACCTAAAAGAAAACACATTTTTGATTTTCAATTTAAAGGTGATGTTAAAGATCCATTTCCATTTGAAGAGTCCAACACCAGGGCCAACTGGTATTGTATTCCAAAGCTAAGGTGTTCAATCTATATGTGACCATAAAGAGAGAACATGAAAAATTAAAATTTGAAATTCTTTACAGAAAGTCCCAACTTAGACCCAGAGAGGCCAAGTAACAAGAAGGGCTGAAGGGGCACACATGATCTCCCTGGACTCTGTGGGTGGACTGTGGTGGTGGAGATGGGAATAGGAGGGATCGAGCGAGGAGGGGTGTGAGGGAGAGAGGACAGGGAAAGATGGCCGGAATGGGGGGAGCGTTTGGGAGACTTTGTGGAGAACTAGTGCAGGGGACACTCCCTGGAATGGAATCTATGACGGTGACCCTATGGAGGAATCCTAGTAAAGGGGCATGTGGAGCCTGAACCAGCCACCTTCTGTAACCAGGCAAGGCTTCCAGTCGTGGAACTGGGATACCAGTCCAGCCACAAAATCTTTGACCTTCAATTTGCCCTGCCTGAAAGATGTGCTGAAGGAAAGGAAGCAGAGAACTTGTGAGAGTGGCCAACCAACAACTGGTCTAACTTGAGGCCCACACTATGAGAGGGGGGGGTTCATAGGGACTCACAGAGACTAAATTGACAATCGGAGAACCTGCATGGATCTGTGCTAGGTCCTCTGCATATATTTTATGGTTGTGTAGCTTCTTCTTCTTGTAGGACTCCTAACAGTGGAAGCTATTCCTGACTCTTTTGCCTGCTCCTGAGACCCTTTTCCTCCTCCTGGGTTACCATGTTCAGCCTTGATATGAGGGTTTGTGTCTCATCATATTGCATCTTGTTATTTTATGCTCTGTTGAAATCCCTGGGAGGCCTGCTCTTTTCTGAAGGGAAATAGAGGAGGAGTGGAATTAGGGGAGAAGGGAAGGGATAGGGGGAATGAGAGGAGTAGAGGGAGGAGAAACTGCGTCGGAATGTATTGTATGAGAGAAGAATAAAAAAGAAGGGGGGTGGCTTCATGGATTTCAAGTTTGTTAATGGAGTAAAAACATTAAGAACAAGTTATTCTTAGAATGTGAGCTTTGTCCAAGCTAGTGATGTCCTTTATGACAGTGTGCCACAGTGCTGGGAAGTAACAGGGAGTCACAGATACCAATCAACCACAAGGTCACCCAAGGAAGCAGCTGATACTCTACAGGGGCCTGTGTGGCTGAACTGAGCTTTTCAGTTCTTCAGCTCTATTTAATGTATCTTCCCTTAAAGTATCTTCTAACTCACAATAACCATTCACAATAAAAATGCCACTGTAGGTCATGGAACACCTCGGAAATAGTTGTTCAGTGTGTATAAGATACTAAGATATGAACATTAATAAACCACAGTCTATAACCCTCATGATCTACAAATGAACACCTTCTGCTAATTCAGAGCAACCACTCTCTAAAACTAGAAACAAGAAGGGAGGATTTTTAAGAGACAGAGGGGTTGAAGACACCATCAAAACAAGCCTGAGTTTCCACTTTCAATATGAAGAGACCTTGGCCCACAGATGTTGAGCTACATTTGTTCCATCATTCAGAGGTCCTGTGACTGAGCTGGGTGAAAACTTGGTCTCATGTCAGGGCCTATGCTCACTCCTCACCATAGTGTGGCCCCCAGGTATCTTCCAAGACTGATCATTTTCAGTAAAGCAAACTATTTGCTGTCTAGGCACTGGTTGACTTGAAGGTAAAGAGGAAACAGACCCAGTCATGACGAAAGTGAACTTACCATCCAGCAACATTTTGGCTGCCATGGCTGTCGGTAACCCCACAGTTTTAGCCATTGCCGAAAAGCCGTTGAAGTCTCCATAAACCACAAGATCAATGATCTTATTTTCTAAATGTCCAGAGGGATGCCTGATGCCAAAGCTGTCTCTCATCACAATCATATCTTTTTCTTCAGGGCCTTAAAACAAATGCAAACATTCTAAATCATCATCGTAGCTTAACTATTATTTGTATTTTACCTTTTTGCCCTTCTCTGAAGTTTCCCATCCAATTACATAGGATCTCTAGATAACCATTTATGATGCTTTTTACCCAAAGATCAGTGAAAACCTCAAAAAACAAAAAAAAAAAAACATTGACCACATTCCTTTCTCAGTATGGAGTAGTTTGGTTGGTGTGACAAGAAAGATGGACACTTGCTCCCAAAAATATTGCTTTGGTATTTACCTAATACATTAAATACAAAACTCTTTCTTCCTTCTCATAGTTTCTGAATTCATTATCTCCTAATGATTTTTCTGTTATTGCCTCAGCCCAGTGCCCTTTCCCTCTTTTCAATCTCTCCCTTCCTGTTGCATGGCCACCGCTCCCAAGACCAATCCTTTGGCCAAACTCTCTTGTGATTGTCTTCAGCAATGTTTAGTGAAAACCCACAACCTACCATAGGAGAGTTTTGAGACCAAGTGCTTGGAGAATGCATCCACGATAGACTCTGCCTGAGGGACCTGCTCATCCCCCAATAAGCCCAACCTGAAAAGCACAAGTGTCTCTGTTAGTTCACAGCCTATGCACGTTCTCTAGGAGTAGAAAAGAGCTCCTCGGCTCTTTGGCATTAACTCACAAGTTCTAAGATTCACTTAAACTGAAAAATAGTAATAAAAGGAACTCCTTAGCTTCAGGATCTCCCCAGATTCCCTGAGACACTGCTCCATAGAGCAGGGCAAGAAGGTATAAAAAAAGCTCATGTTTTATGACATTTAAGGGTTAATTTACAGATTATTTGTCTCACATTAAGTATACTTGTATGAATAATATTCCATAGTCACATGAATGAATATTCTGCAGTCAGTGGGGAAATACTCAGAGAAATCCCACTTTATCCAGGAATGGAATGAGAAAATGCTTTAAAATAAACATTTTCCAGGTCATAATTGCCATCAGATTTCTTCACTTTACTTTTTTATCCCAATATAAACATAATACATTATAATCTCTCTAAGACCAACCTAATGAGCATTAATTAGCTAATAAACAGCTAACTAATCAAAGACAAATACATGTGTGGTATGCCATAGCCTTTCTTTGGCCAGAAAGGACTATATCATTAATCACTGGTCCAATGTGTTTTGATCTAAATGAAAAAAGGGGCCCTTACCATTCAGCAGCCTCAAGCTGGGTACTGTCCCCTCCCAGTTTTGTAAAGACAACTTCCTTAAGCTTCTCACATGAAGAGGAGCGGGAAATTCCAACTAGGTCACACAGGAGCTGTTTCTGATTGGAAAAAGAAACATGGAGAGTCTAAGCCCCTAAGTAGCAAAACATCAATGATCTGAGAAATAAGTCTATCAAGACATCAGACATCAAGTGGACCTCAAGTTTGTTAGAAAAAAAATTAAATAGAAAATTGAGACATAAATTACATGTGTATAAATATATGCATATGCATGCATGCATATCGATATATCACAAATGCACAGGATTCCAGAACAATGTTTAACAATAAAAAGTCAATGGTAAAAAAGGGAAACACTAAAACACTTCCTGGTCATGTATCTTCTCCATCACTGTTTTCACCCATACTCCACACACACCCTGTAGCCATCAATCTGGAGCAGGTTAAAGTACAGGGGACTTACTGCTGTGGTTGCCAATGGCAACCAGACTTCTTTTGTCACTTCAGAAGATGAGAAAGACCTCGCAGGGAATCAAATTTCAAAAGAACACTTAAAAGAGTGGCCATAGATTTTTTTTCTTCTTTCTAAACAAAACTTTTTCCAGGGTCCTGGGAGGAAGCTAGGCTCCAGATCAGAAGTCAGCCAATTGGTTCCCAGGCGCAGTGTGGCTCATTGCCTGCTTTATGAATTAGGAGTTCACTGGAAGATGTACCTACCCACACACGTGTTTATGCATCGTCTGTGGCAGTACTAGAGTGCTCTGCAGAGACTGCTTGGCCCACAAAGTCTAAAATGTTTATAATCTGATGCTATGCAACCAGAGTGTTGTTTGTGTTCTACACAATAACTAACAGCATCCTGGGAGACCCAGGAGGAGTACATTGCTTCCCAGCCTACCTGCTCAGCTGGTATTTAGATGCCAGCCACTAGTGGGAGCTCTACTTGATATTCAGCTATGAGTTCTAAATTCCAGTCCAACTCCAAGACTCCAGGATATGACACAGAAATGCCTAAGACTCAGTAATAAACTTATTACTCATGATCATACATGGCCCAATGAGAGGACTGGCAAGATTCATACCAGCACCCTCCCAATTATCACACTCAGTGGGCCCAAATGACCTATACAACTGGAAAATTCCAGAGTCCAAAACAGAGTGAAGGCATCTCCTTCCAGGGGTCAGGGGGAAGATCCTGTGGAGTGAGTACAGGAGCAGACCAGGCATATTAGCCCATCAACTTCTCCATCTTCCCCAAGTGAGGAAGGGGGAGGAGATGTTCTCAGGACTCATCATTGTACATCAGCTACAGAAAGGATGCTTTGGAGTTTTTTTTGTTTGTTTGTTTTTTGTTTGTTTGTTTTGTTTAGTTCTCTTCAAAACTTATCTCTCACTGGTGTTGGGGATCTCCAGTTGGCCGAGGGAGGGGGGATTACAAACCACGCCCTCAGCATGCCAAGGGGTGCCTCTCCCCTGGAGCTGCTCTCTCCAGACCCAGCCCCTTAGAAAGCCTGCCAAGGGTCAGCTCCTCCCCTGGGGCTGCCCAAGACCATGCCTACAGAGTATTTAAGACCTGGTCTGCCAGACCCACCACACGATTGCTCTTCTGCCTTCCCAAGAGTCACCTGGGAGTTGCTTTGCTGTTTATTACACCTGGACTTATTAATTTGGCTTGATTGGCTTATTGCATTGGCAGAGGATGCCCAATGACTAGGGATCCAATATTTATCAACTGGGTCATCTCAGAAGGCATGTGTGCAGCGGACAGCAAGGAATTCTGGAGATACTCACCCAGGTGAGAGGGTTGGACTCAGGTAGGAGGGCAGGATATGCTTCTCTGTTGATGAGACCCAACTTTACAAATCCATTCAAAGCCTTAGAATATCCCTGAAGAATTAATAAGTAGCAAATGAATTATTTTCCCTTAAAAGACAAATGAATTTTTAGCTTTTTTTTTAAGCAAGATCTACCTTTACAACTAATTAAGCGTTTTTAAAGAGTGTTTTATATTTATAACTTATTTGGAAATAATCTTCATTGCTGATATATTAACAGTATCATAATTTAATGGGTTCACATAAAAGACTTTATAAATGGGTCCTTTTTCATTTTCTCAATACTATGTTGTATGGTATGTTCTGGCAGCATATGGGCTAATTTCCTGGTGAATTATATAATGCAGTTTAACAGAATATTATTTGATAGAACAGTCAGATTTTGATCTTTTCTTTATTACACTGCTTTGTGTTCTCTTTATGTGCTAAGGATCCGTTCTAGGGCCTTGGGCATGCTAGATAAGCACTCTATCAGCTTAGTTCCTATCTATTTTGCTTTCTGGTGATAGAAAGAACAATAACCCATATCCCCCTAAAAGCAGAGAACTCATTCTATAGTGAAGAGCTAGTTATGTATAGAATATGGGGAAGGACGCCATGCTAGGACTCCTTTGCCTGGTTTTCTCATTTTGAACATATTTATAACATCTCAAGTGTGATCAACTGAAGATTCTGTTTTGTGGTTAAGAAAGAATTTCAGATCTGCTTTCAGGAAGTCCATCTAACCCTGTCACTTCTCCCAGACTCAGTTCGTGTGTTTCGAATGATGCTAACCTTATCATAAGCTCTGGAAACATAGAGGACACTGGTCTCAAAAATAAATCACAGCTAACAAAACAAAATTTATATGTTTAGCCATTAGGAAAAGGGGCAGTTAGTTACTCACAATGGATTTGAACCTAATAGACCATAACAGGAAGCTGGAACCAACTTGGTACTGCGGGGAACCTAAGACCACTGTCATCTTACAAGACCAAGAAATGAAGTGCTCAAATCCAGGTATACCTAAAGCTAGCCTCCTACTTGCTCCCTATCCCTAGAGAGCCAAAAAATTCACTATTTTGAATTGGGTCTCCTAACAATTTAATAAAAGGATTTTTTTAAACCAGCAAACTGTGTTGGAAACAGAATGTCCTAGCTGCATAGGAGCAGAGAATAAGCAGCAGTTGAGTGTTCAGCCCAAAACAAGGCATTTAAACCATCCCATGGGACACTGCAGAAGCAGAAGCAGAAAGATGGGAAGAGCTGGAGGGCAGGGAGCAGGGAAGAGAAGTGCCATATTCTAGACAATGCACAGTCACTGCAATTATGAACTCTCAGCTACTGTGGATGACGGCAGTGTATGTGTATCAACAACCAGGCAAGGGTGGAGGAGGAACTCAGGGAGGGGCCTCAGTCCCTCACTGCTTAATGATTTCCTATGGATAGAGTCCAGAAAAGGGGAAGACACTGCCTTCAGTTTGTACCCACTGGTAACCCTGCCAGACTTCCTAAGGGATAGTACCAATTCAACAATCAGACAAACAGCCCTGATTAAACTAAACAGGTCATACAACAAAACCAAGTCATACACCTTGGTAAGGGACACACAGGGAAAATGGTGGGTAGGTGGGGAGTGGGGGGGACAAGAGGTTTAGGAGAGAGTAACCAGAATGCATTATACAAAAGTATGAGGTTGCCAAGTAACTTAATAACTAACTTATTTTCTGAAAAAATAAACTCCAACTTGGTTTTTCATTCTAATTATTAGAAAACAAATAAGCATATACACTACTTACACCAAAACTAGCAATGCTTTTAAAATATAGCACTTACCTTATATCGCAATGTACCCCTCAACAACGTGTGGGCAGATGGAATCCCATAAATTTCAGCATATCGTGTACTATCTCTGTTAGGATACCCTTCCAAGTTCAGGCCTGGGAAGTAATCCATGGATGTGACAGAGTCGAGAAAAGAGGCTCCCCCTGTCACATTCACAACCTGAAGAAGAATGAAAAAGAGCTGGGCTTATCTGCATTAATTATTAATGTTTAATTAATTATTATTAAGTAATTAAACAAAACTAGCAGAGCTTTGAAAAACATTAATGAAACTCTGATTGCTACTCAGCATGCTATTAGCCAAGCTGCTCCTCTTGGAATAACTTGCCAGACTTTCCCCCAAACTTTCACATCCTAATACACTTTATTTTCTAAACAAAAGTCTCGTTTTCAATTGGCTTTTGCCCCTGATTAAAATAGTATTATGCTATATTAGGGGTTTTTTGTTTGTTTGCTTGCTTTGCTTTGCTTTTTTTGTAAGCTAATAGCGTCAAGTATACATTCAATGGCTTGTATGCTCTGACAGCAATGGCAATATTCCTTTCTTTAGTCTCATATCTCCTCTGAATACACCAGACACTAGTCTTGCACGTTTCACTCTCCCAACTGTCATTTATTGAATACTCATTATTGCATGTGCCAGAGATGACACACATTGTAGCGAGAACAAGGAAAACAATGAATAGGATTCAATTCATATCTTTTGTTCACTCTTTGTTCACTGGAAAAGCCTTTGCTGAATGTTCGCCAATCATCAGCAACTGCACAAAACTTGAAGCGCATGTTGAAGAGGCAGCAGAAGGAAGACCTCCCTTCATAACAGAGACAATGCCAAGACTACACAATGAAGCTCAAATACACCTTCCCGCTGGTGAGAAGCTAAGCCCTGATTCCCTAGAGCCTCGTACCCCTCCCCAGCATACATTCAAAGTGCGAGGAGACACTGTTTCATGTTTAACTTTAAAGTATTACATTTCCTCTTAGAGCTTGAAGTCTGTGGTTGTCCTTGAGATAATGAAAAACATTCTGGAATGATAAAATCAGGGCTGAGGCTGCTGTCAAGCTGGACTTTGTCCTGCTGGAAACAATTTGACCGAATTTCTAAAGCTGCACAAACTAAGACTGCAGGAGACAGTTGCCAGGGTTCACAGGGATTTTCCCAAAGGATACTGGGCTAGAGGCAATGGTGCCCAGAATACATTTCTGGATGAGCTCACCTATATTGCAGCATAAGGTAGAAAATGGAAACTAATTCATACACTACTGAGGACCCACGAAAAAAAAAATGGGCTGCAGTGTACATAGTCCGGGTGAAGTGAGATCTTTTCAGTTGAAAAGATCACTTGCAGTAAGTATACCTTCTAGAATCTCAGAAAGAATCCCAAGAATGTGAAGAATGCTTCTCATTTAATTTGATCAGAGCTCCTTCTTTAGACTGTATTAAACTTCTTCTAATAGAATTCTAGTTTTAAAAACAACCTAATAAAGAAGCCACAACCTGGGTCTCTATACCCATCTTACTTCTGAAACCTACAGCAACTCTAAAGTCCTGCTTCTTCAGTTGAAGATCAGGCTAATTTTTAAAGAAAAACTCTTGCCAGGCATTGTAATAAAAATCTATAATCCCAGAGTTTGGAGCACTGAGACAGGAGAATTGCTAAAAGTTCGAGGCCAGCCTAGACTATATACTAAGACCCTATATAATAAGAAAAAAAAAGGAAGAAAAAAATTACCAACTTAAAATAAATCAGCAAGTTCATAAAATCAGATAGTTTAAACTGGCTGCTAGTGATTCACTTAGAGAAATTAACAACTGATGGACCTGATCCCAAATTAACAGTGTGGGTATGAGGAACTGAGAGTTAAACAGAGGCAGACAGACAGGGAGAGGAGTCACCACCAGGTAGTAAGGATTTGAACTTCCACGATGGCTGGTTTCTTCCTCTCCAGGATGCTGGCTTCTTCATCAACCTCCTGACCTGATACAAAAGCCTGGAAGCTTAAAACCTGGTGAACTTTTTTCCTACTATTAGGCCCTCTCCTTAAGGAGAAACTGAATTTGGGACTCCCAGGTTCCCTCTGCACACACACACACACACACACACACACACACACACACAGGAGACGGGGTGTGCACAGGAGACGGGGTGTGCACACACACACACACACACACACACACACACACACACACACACTTTGCAGAGGGTTCTTTTCTGTGCCTTGCTGTGTGTGTGCTTCCTCACCACTCTTAAAAGCCTTTCTTCACCAGCTGCTTCTGTCTGCTGCATCTTAGAGTTTCCCTGCTGTTACATATTGCACATGAGATTTTTCCCACCATTTGATTATTTAAATGGCAAAGGAAATGAACCAGTCAAGATGCCTGCATTGTAACACTTCTCACCATTTGATAAGCAGCTGGCAATCCCAGTGTCCTGTGTTCAAAACAAGCCCTGTCTAGTTCAATATTCTATTAAGAACTTCAATGGAGACATTAAAATACATCTATCCATTTTGCATAGAAAATGGTTTCTCTCTGCTCAGACAATGCTTGTGCACCAGATCCACCCCCAGCAGAAGTATAGCACATTACATGTTGTGGTTGTAGGATTCTCTGAGTCCAATTCTTTTTCACACACACACACATCACCTAACCAATGAGAATCACAGGCCTATATCTTAGAATAAATACTCAAATACTCAAAATAAGTGATGAATCAGCCTCCTCCATCTTGGGCTTGAAAGCCATCTGATAGTAAAGACAAACGAGGCTCATCCTGTTTATGATTAAACCGCTGTTTCTCAAGGATTGGGCTATAACCCATCTTTAACCTTAACTACAAATAGCTCTGTACTGCCTGTTCCTGGAAATAACAACCATGCTTTTGTTTAAGAAAAATTATTACTATCTTGCAATTCTTTGTTTCAAAGGGTTGTTATGACTACCTGTTGTTATGGCCACCTTACAATCATGTCTTTGTTTCAGAAGGTTGTTATGACTAACTTGTTATGCTTATGCTCTGCTCTGGTAACCTAACCTATTTTGCCCTACAAATCCTCCATTTGTAAACCCACTATCCCTGAGCTATAAAAACCATCTCTTCCTCATGTCCAATACTGACCTCTTCAACCCCACCTTATAGAGAAGCAGCCTATGTATATGAATAAACAAATCTTGCTTTAATTAATTAAGCCATGATGTTTTGGGTCGATGGTCTTTCTCCTTGAATCACTGGGATTAACCACTAAACTATTAAGAAACTTAGCACAGTAAATGTACAGGCTGTCATTTACTTGAGACCATCAGTCTTTTGGTGTTTTATGTGCTTACTTTTAATCCATGTAATTACACATTTTTTTAGAAGTAAAAACAGGCTGTGAGTCACACAGAAGCAGATTTGTGTCTGTCTAACTGACCCATTGCCTGTATTCTTTCTACTGTATCACATGAACATCTTCATTTTGCTTATTTCTAGATCAGTATTTTCAAAAGGATATTGGCACAGTACAGCATCTAGGATTCTTATACAAGTGCATCCTCCAAAAGCCATGCTGGAGTGGCAATGGGCACAGGGAGCAATCAGTAACTCTTGATTTTCTAAAGAGGAGGAGGGGCTTGCTTCCCACAAGTATGAATTTCCCACTTTCCATGGGAAGATGTACCACCATCTATGAATGGATGGAACTAAGAGAAGACTAGTCACTGCCTCCAGACACACGGGAGGCAGTCAGATTTGCTAGGAATCAGAACAGTACCAGTGACTAGAACTCACAAGAACATGGGACAAGGCACTGCGCTCTAATTCACAGGCTCCTTTCTAATTACTAGAAAAGTTTTGGGCTTCAACTTTAAGCCCAAAGCAGTGAGGGCTTCATCGCTATGGTTCTGTAAATTCTGTAAGGCCTCCTTTGTGGCTGAGGGTGACAGTGGCAGAGGGGACAGGAAAACAAAAACATGAGAGACAGTTTTTAAGAAGCTTATCAATAAAGATTGGGGAACAGAGCTATAGACATGAATCACTGAAAAGTTTTAGATGCAGACAATCCAAGCACCTAAGTGTCAGACGCTCTGAGTTCAGACAAAAGGACAGTGAACAAAGCCTGGAATGGCTAGGAAACTCTACAAGAGCAGATCTGTACAAGACCTTGAAAAAGTATCATTTTAGTAGAGAAAAGAGAAGCATCGTGTTTTTCCTCTTCAAATCCTCCAGTGTCAGAAAAATGCAAGAAAGCCCTCCATTTTAGAAAGCAAGTTCAGGATGAAAAGGCAGTGGAAAGGGGTGGGGGTTGGGGGGAGACACTTCAAATTCAGCAAATACAACTTGTGCTGTCAGAAATGACTTGTTGCTTTGCCTGAACTCTGGGGAGCACTGAGTTCTTTCCAAAGCTAGTATCTGCCAAAGACTTGGGGAATGCCAGTAAGTCGGCTGTTAGGCAGATCACAATTGACATGGCTTTACTAGCTATACAAGAATGATGCAAAGCACGATACAGTATGGGCACACACCTTTAATCCCAGTACTCAGGAGGCAGAGGCAGGCTGATATCAGTGAGCTCCAGGCCAGCCTGGCTACAAAGCTAGTTCCAGGACAACTATTACACAGTTAAACCCTTGTCTCAAAGAAAGAAGAAAGCAGCCAAGTGGCTATTATCATCCTTGTTTTCAGATAAGAAGCTGGTGATGTCAGGGCTAGAGCACAAAGCCAGGCTTCTGATGTTGATACCTCACTAGTCCCTGAAGAGGAAATGTGGTATTGTATTCCCCCAAATAGTGTGCATTCTAATAAACTTATTTGGGTCACTGCCTGCCTCTTTAATTTTTGTCTTTCTCATAATTTATATGGCCTCCTACGCAGAAACATCATGGTCAATGAGAGCAGACATTTTTCCAGCCTTTGCATATTACTCTGTACCAAACATGAGCCAGACAGACTGCAAAAGGAGAAAGGGGCTGGCACATGAAGGGAGACAGGCTGAGGCATGTAAAAGAAAGCATGATTGGTGGAACATCAGGCTAAGATTCTGTTCCAAACCTTCATGATTCACAGGACGTCAAGACAAGCTGGAATGCCAGTGTCCCATCACACCGCAGGGCCTGGTGCCTGGGGAACTTTATGCTTGCCTAGCTTCTGGAGACACTATGAAGGATGCCAGCATGTGCCCCAGAGCTCAGCGGTGCCTTTCTCATCCTAAAGCATCCCCCTACAACACCTCGATAGCTTAGTAGTGTTAGACTCAGCTGGGATCCTCTGGTTACTAAGTCATTTACTAAGTTACTAAGTTCTCAAGTTCAGCTGCTTGTTAAAAAAAAAATATCACTTGGTAAGCTTTGAAAATTTGCCAAAGTCTAGCAAATTAAAATCTTCAGGAATGAGTTTTAGGCATCCATACTTTTCAAACTTTCATTATGATTCATTCAATGTGTAGCCATATCTATGAGCCATTATCACAGGCATAAGTGACCAAGGCTGGTAGAAACACATATGTTGTTTCATAGGCAATCCTGTCAAATATAAACTATGTGACTGCTAACTATACTCATTCTATAAATGCCTTCCTCATAGCTATCGGTAATTTTATTCCTCTCTCCCTAAATATTATCTGGAAAGGGAATTTTCAAATGACCTTACCACATACAAATACATAAAAAGATGAATGTTTGAGGTGACCATTATGCTAATTACACTGACATAGTTCTTGCATAAATACATGTGTTACATTGTATATAATTTATGCACATACCAATATAAAAATTCAAAATTTAAAGAAAAAAACTTTAGTCCTGAAAAATATTTAGATTCACATATAAGCTGAAAATGTATAACATGAATATTAGAAAAAAATCTTTTTACTAGATCAGAATGCATTACTTATCATGATGGGCTGAGACTGGAGAGCAAGGTAAGGGAGGTGCTTAGGATAGATGATTCACAAAAGAACCCTCCTCGGTCCTGATACATTTTCTTCCCAAGCGTGAGTCTTTCCTTGCAGTTAGAGACACAAATACAGAGGTGGCCAGCTGTGGTTTCGATGCCTGCTCTGCCCTTGCATTCTCTAACTGCAGCTGTGTTGTGTGGCTCACTCCACTTCCTCCTCCTATCCATGTTCTGTCTCAAACGACAGCTCTCCTGCCCGCCTGGCACCTTCCATTCCTTCAAGGATGAGCACATCCTCTTCTGTTACACTCCGCTTCCCAGCCTCAATCTCTCCACATAGGCTAGGCAATTGAACTCTTGACTGTAGGTCTGTGACAAATTAGACTTTTGGAAATTGTTCCTTGGATGACAGTTATTTAATCCAGTGTCTAACTCCCCTAACAAAAAAAGGAATCTCATAAAAGGAGGAGTTAATGACATGGCTCAGCTAGTGAGGGCATTTGCCACCAAGCTTGAGGATCTGGGTTTGAACCTCCTTAGTAGGAGAGAATCGGCTCCCACAAGTTGTTCTTAACCTCTGGATTTGCACCATGACTCGTAGAGGTACGGATGCATGTGCACACTTATACACATAATAAAAAATTAACATAAAAACAATTTTTAATAGCATTGTAGTTAGTTGAAACCAGGGTTGATTCTCAGAGGAGGGCCTTAGCCATCCTCTCCATGCCTTGATCTCATTTTTATAAAATAATGAAAGTAATACTAATAACGCTGTTAGATAGCATACCGGGAAGAAATATTAGTTCCATCCTGATGTACCACACCCCCCATGCAAAGGGGCACTTCGTAGCCACGACTTCTCTGAAATCAGGAATGTCGGGCTGTTAGTATAACAATCTTTGGTGCCTTTGAGTTCAAAGTCTAACTCGGTTTGTGTCAGACTGAAATTACTTGAAAGATAACCAGCATTTGTGTACATAAATAAGATAAGAAGCACATTTCAGAAGCAGCCAAGAAGGAAGAATGAACACAGGATTGGTTGAGAGAAAAATCAAGGTGACCTCGTTAAGCGGAACAGGAGCATACACACTGGGAGACAGCAGAGGAGACAGGGAGAGCAGCTAAAACAGCACACAACACTGCTATGGGGGAAGGGTTCAGAGTCCCGCCAGCCACCACTGCCGCCGCCGTTTATCTCTCAGGCTTCCATGACGCTCCTTTACCTTCCCGTTGAGCAGATAGCTAGCCGGCTGCATTATGTTCATCAAGACTCCCACTGGACTCCAGCTGAATTTATATCGCAAGGGATTGTCTGAATATTCGGGGGCTGGAAGGCCACCACAGTAGGAAACATAAGACTCAATCTATAAGTAAGGAATAAATTAGGAAGAATCAATAATATTAAGGAGAATTATTATTTTATTTGTTAATCAGGGTGAATGATATCAATCTGGTGAATGTGCTATCATCATTTATGTTTTGAAGTTATTGAGGCTTTCAAATATACATCATCAAAGTCAAATACTTCTTAACACAGAGCTATACACACATATATGAAAAATGTATATATACAAACAATATATGTGAAAAATATATGAATTATATATATAATATATAGAGAGCTCCACTAGAGATAATGAATAAAATTTTGCTCATTTAAAAATTCCACTGTTAGAGCTGGAGAGATGGGTTAGTGGTTAAGAGTGCTTGCTGCTCTTGCAGAGGACCAAGTTGGTTTCCAGCACCCACACTGGGCAGCTGACAACTTCCTGCAACTCCAGCCAGCTTCAGAGACTCCAATGCTCTCTTCTGACCTTTCCTTTGAGGGCATCCACATATATGTGTACACATACATGATATATATATGAAATAAATAAAAATAAAACAAATCTTTAAAATAAATAAATTAAAATTCAACTATTAACTTTTTCTTGGTTAGGTCCTACAACTTTTATATTCAGACATACCTATGTATGTCTGTATATATGTGCCAAAAATTAAAGCACTCAATTTGAGTGACTATATCTACACATACAATCATTCTTTGTCATGTGTAAATACTTTATTAATCAACAGACCGATATTCCAAAGATTTTTTTCTCATTTTTAAATGTAAAACCTTATCAAAGGATGTATCTCACAGGCAAAAATCTTAATAAACAAAGATATTACAGTAACATCTGTTTCTCTAACACTCAGTTGCTAAGGCTCAAGTTGATGTTTACTCTGCAGATGTGTCTCTAGGTACCACAGTGTTTGTGGTTCCTAGTCAAAGGATGAGCTGTGGTACAACAAATCACTGATGAGAAGCAAAGGAAGCCCCCATCTCTGCTGAGGAAGCTCGATCGTTAATGTTAATGCTTTCCTAAGTGGAGTTCTGCATCAGAACTGGGCTCACCGTGGCTCCCAGCTCTTTGGCCTTATCAATTGTTTCCATTGCCAACATGTGATCAAGACCAGGATCTAATCCCAATTCACCAATGACTGTGATGCCAGCGTCGTCCACACTGCCACAGGTAGAAAAGAAGAAAATGAAAAAAGTCAGACATAGAAGAGAAACAGGGCTATGGAGACACCCTTCTGGAAGTGGAGACATACCTCTTCTCCAGTTCTTTCATGGCTGGTGTGATGTAGCTCGCAGTGACCATGTTGACTCTGTTTGAGATGCATGCCTTGGCCACAACAGGATGCAACACATAAGGCAACAAGCTTCAAACAGAGGGAGAGGGGATTCAGAAGCTTTGCTCCCCGACTCTCCTTCCCTTCCAGGATGCTTGAACGGTTACTACAGCTCAGTCCTGAAAAACTGCCCAACTAAACAATTCTCTCAGAAATGACCAAGTCTTCTGAACTACAGAACACATTCATTCATGTCTACCACACATGATCTTCACTAACCCTTTCCATATTTTTTCTTTTTAATTTTATAGTCATTTATTACATGTATATATGTATACATGGACCACATGCAAATCACAAATATCTCATGATCCAGGCATTTTATTTCTAGTTTTCTAACATTGAGAGTGTACATACACCTGTCAAAAGACAAATACCAACTGTGGACAGCAACATGTTCATAACAGCCCAAAACAAGAGCAACTAAATTCCATCAAAGTCACAATATTGCTAATGATATATTCACACAGTAGGGCATACACAGCCAGTTCTCATAATTACAATATCAAATGAATGAAGACTGTCACAAACAAGGACATACTGAATGATCCAACTATACAAACTTTGAAAACATGCAAAAACTAATCTAGATGTTAGAGTAACCGTGTTTACTCTATGGGATAGAGCCAACAACAACAAAAGGTTAATAAGATGGCTTGTGGCATGTTATCAATATTGTTTCTTGATGTGAATAGTGGTTATAAAATGTGTTAACAGTATAGATACTCACTGAACAACATACTTGTTTTTTTATCCGTGTGTGTGTGTGTGTGTGTGTGTGTGTGTGTGTGAGTACGAGAGAGGGCGGGGAGAAAGAGAGCGAGAAAGAGAGGGGGAGAATATTATTAATTAGCCCAAGTTGGCCTCAAACTTTCAATCCTTAGCTTCAAACAAGCAAAAGCAAACAAATGCTGGTGATATAGGAATGTACCATCACACCGAGCCATAGTTCTACTTTCTGTACTTTCATATGAATGCCCTTCAATTAAATGTTTATGAGAAAGGAAAAGACAGAAGAGGAAAGGGAAAGGGGGAAAGAGAGAGAGAGACTAAGAGAAGATAAAAACAAGCACACAGGGGACTTTCTCTTGCCCAATACCTGATAACAAGATCCTGCGACGCTACCAAGGATTGCAGCTTCTCTTCTTGTTTACCAATGTTCACACTAACAGGGTTAATATTGTATTTCTTGCTTAACTGTTGCATTTGGTTCACCATGTCAGAGCCTATTTCAAGAATGCAAAAGTCCATTTCTTAGATTTCCTCCCACTGGACACATTTTCAAACGCCACAAAACAGCTTTTCAAAACTTGGACATAAAAATCAACTATAACTCAGATTCAGCATGCAATGAAAATAGTTTCCTTCTTCTTTAAAGAAATGAAGACCTATTTACCTACTGTTATTTCTATATTGTTGTCTCTTGACAGATATTCTAAAACAGGCCCAGATACATAGCCAGACCCAAGCACCAACACCTTCTTCTTGGGACTCATTGAAAGGAACTGAACACGTTCTCTGTTGAAAAAGAAAAAGGGTAGGGATAATTAAATTTTATTTCTTTTAAATAACAGAAGCTTGCTAGCCCCAAACCAAACACAAACCTAGATGATGAGACAACAAAATCTGCCTGTGTTACTTATAGTAAGAATGTCAACGGAAATGCCTTAGGCCAACGCTTTTCAATATTTGTTTTAGATCTTGTACGATAGACTCTGGCATCTGAGATGCCCAGTGCCTATCGACATCTATAAATTCCTAGGTCTAAAATGAGGACTGGACTGTTTTGTTCTCTGCTTAATTACAACTGAGTAACTTGTTTCACATTTTACCCTCCCAGATATTTTTATCCAAAACTATGTTGAATCTGAATGTGGGAAGCCTCATTTCCTCCTCATAGCAGTCCAAGGAAACAACAACCTGAACAATCCATTACTATTATCTGCATCAAAAACTGTTTTGTCGTGTATCTTTAGGCTGATGTAAGAAATCAAGACTAGAAAAGATTTGAATTCTTGAACCATTTATTCTGTTTAAAAGTTGTACTTTTTGACAAACTGTGACCTCCACAGTAGCAATGGAGTCTTACTCAACTACAATCCAATACTGTTTACTCCATTTTGTTCTTAATATGGGAGTAATTATCAATCGTTTTTTAATCAGATTCCCAGATGCCATCGTGAAACCGTGGGCATGGTCTGGTTCCAGGGTCTTAACAGCAAGCTTGGATGTTGGGATCTTTAGGATATTCTCACACTGCAATCTGCCAACCTTTTCATTTATAGTAAGTAAATAAATATGAATATGAAATGTTCCCACCCCTCTTCACACAGCAACACACATATTACTGATACGATTTCTTGTAACCACTACACTCACACCATTCAACCTCTAAAAGAATCATCATTATCTGTTTATTAGATATTCTTTCCAGTAGTGCCTTATATGATTTGTATAAATGAAACGTTTTGATGCACAAATCTAAAATGTTCAAAATATGTTTTTTAAAAATCCACTCGGATTCCATATCAACAGTATCCCTAAACTCCAAATTCCAATTTACTAATCACTACACTAAGCAATGAAAAGAATGTAAGAATAAGTTAGCCTTCAAAACAAATTTGCTTTCAAGGTAAGATTTCCATTATCAGATTCCTGGCATAAGAATACATTAGGGAATGGAAGTAGAAAGTTCCAGCAACTGCAGCCAGTCAGACCAGCTGCCCCAGGAAATACGGTGCACAGACTAAAGACATGACTGGCTGGTTGACACAGCATTGCTATCATAGTAAGAAATCATCCGGTGGTAAGAATAAGCAGAATTATGAGTAACAAGCAAATATGAAGCTTCCCCTATAAGAAACTCTACAGAACTATAGAGGTACTTTGATTTTAGGAAGAAAAATACTCAGTATTTTCTGCCAGAAGAAGCCATTGCCACATTAAATGCAGGAGTTCTAAGCAAACAAACACATACAAGAGAGGCATGTGTATGGGGTGGGTGGGGGGAGACCTGATCCTAGCACATCTCTTTATCTCTTGTGGCAGGAACCACTGAGAAGCAGGCAGGGTAGCTGTGCTTTTGTGTTTATGTTTTCCTTCTGGGGTTTCTCCCAGGAATTCAGTCTGTGTGTTATTTTGTAAAATGTGAAAAGCCCAGCAAAGTAGATGAGATCAAGTACAGCCTGAGGGGGGAACAAGAATGTTTCAGAGAAACATCAGTGTTTCCTGACTCGGAACAGGAGCGTTCGTTAAGGAAGCAAAGCGCTGGCTGCGCCCTCGGGTAGATTCCTGGGCTGCTTTGCGCACCCTCCTCCTCCCTTTTGCCTACATCACTATCTCTATTAGTTTCTATTCAGGATCCCACTTTACCAACCATTCTACTGGACAAAAGAAAAGTCCAAATTTTCAACAAAACCCAAGTAGACAGTACCACAGAAATGGTTAATATGCTCATTTCCTTTGAAAAAATAATTTAGAAATCACTATGTGCAAACTCAAGAGAAAACACGAAGCACACCATTCTACTCCTCATTTACACACCAGATCCCGCTAGATTTTAATGGCTGTGAGGACAATACACTGCTCTTCCAAGAAAAAGAACTCACATAGGTTTCAGCCAGTTGCTTACTTCAGATTTCTAACACTATCAAAATCCACATGTCATATAAATCTAATATTAATAATTATCATTAAAACTTTTAAGCATGCTCATCTAACCCAAGTAAGAGTAAATGCATAATACAAGGAGATTTTTACCAGTACTTACCTGCTTTCTCGGAGTTTCTGGATATATTTGTATTTGTCAGTCAATGAACCATTAGATGTAATCACTGCCTAGATGTGCATATACAAGACATTTCTTTAGTATCCAACATTTTAGTCCTAGAAATATGGACACATGGCTGACAGAAGAGACAAAGTAAGAGAGATGCGGGAGAGGGGAGACAGAAGAGAGAAGGGTGGGGGAGGGAGGAGAAAGAATACACACAGCCAAGAGGAGAATGAAGGATGGTGGGAAAAGGTACATTCTCGGGAAGAAGTCTCGTAACTTACATCACGAACCACTGGAGAAAAGTTCTGGCTTTCGAGGGGCTGCGACGCATCTGATAACAACTGTAACAAAGAGAACAGGGAGAGATAAACAAAGCTACAACAGTGGCTTGATGCACTTTATCCGTACCACAAAGTCTTAAAGAAAAGTTTTCTGAATATTGCCAAACATAAATAATTGGTCGTAGAAATCTGTGGATAACTCTGCACCCAGGAATAGAGTGTTTCAAGGCAAGGAACAATTCTAAAACTAGACTTTGATTCTAATCACCTGCGCTTGCTGAGAGCACACAAAAGCTCTCCTTTCAGAAGCAATCAGAGGTATTACATTGAACACGTTTTAAATTCCCCAAGTAGTACAGCCGTAATCCTCCTTCTGAGTGCCTCTGTCCCACCCCAATGTTGAAGCTGCTCCATGAGAGGTAGACAAGCCCACCATCCTCACAGCAGAGGTCACCCTTTGGTCAAATTTAGTTCTGTGGGTACCACAACATTTCAAACCCCTTAGGGATAATGGCTTGAACAAGTGGAGCTCAAATGGCACCGATAAACTCTGTCCGTTTTCTTGAAGATTGAGTCAGATAGGCATTGACAGAAAATAGATCTCTGTCTCCCCCCTTCTCTCCCCTGCTCTCTCTCTGAGACAGAGCCTCTGTACATAGCCCTGGCTGTCCTTGAGCTCACAGAGATCCGCCTGACTCTGCCTTGAAAGTCCTGGAATTAAAGGCATGATGCCTGGGCCACATTTCTCATATTAACCCCTGAGAAGCCTTCTCCTTTTCCCAAGACCCAGAATTCTTGTTCCTAAGTAACAGTATCTAGTCAGGACTGATATCTCAGATGATCAGAGACAGAACAATGACTGTCTTTCTCTACCATTCCTAGGTTAAGGTCTAGAACTCTTACTCAAATAAGAAACAAAACTTTCCACAGGAGATGCTAGAAACAGAATGTAAACCTGTTTTCATGTATCTGAAGCAGATAATCAACAAATAGCTATTGAATCCAAGGGAAACAAAACATCCTTGACATTCCAAAGGCTATGCCCTTTAATACCACAGAGTTTGTACAGATGTTAAGTCAATAGCAACAAACAAACAAAAATGTATCAATAAAATGACTCCTAATAATATTCTGCTATATTCATAGATCAGTGCCTTGCTTGGCCATCATCAGAGCAGCTTCCTCCTGCAGCAAATAGGAACAAATACAGAGACCCACAGCCAGATATTATACAGAGTGAGAGACTTTGGAACACTCATCACTAACTGGGATGTTTCCATCAAGTCCTTCCCCACAGGGTTCAGAGAACCCTATGGAAGAGGAGGCATAAAGAGTGTGAGAGCCAGAGGGGATGGAGGACACCAAGAAAACATGGCCCCCTATATCAACAAGACCAACACACATATGAACTTGCACAGGGTCTACATGGTTCTGCACCAGGTCCTTTGCATGTAATATTATGGCTTCCAGTTTAATATTTTTATGGGATTCCTGGGTGTGCAAATGAGTAGGTCTCTGTTTCTTGTGCCTTCTTTGGGGCTCCTTTCCTTCTGTTTCTTTCATCCCATTCTGACATGGTTTTTGTTTGTTTGTTCATTTTCTCTTCTCTTACTTCACTGTTTTAATATTATCCCTTAGAAGCCCATTTTCTAATGGGAGAGAAAGGCAGTGGATCTGGATAGGAAGGGAAGTGGGGAAGGACAGGAAGGAATAGAGGGAGATGAAACCATAATCACAGTATATTGAGAGGGGGAAATCTATTTTCAATAAAAGGAAAAAAGGATTAAAAAAGAGAAAAAGTGAGGGGAGAATAGAGTAGTACATAAACTCTAAAATAGCTCCTGCTGCAGCTCATGTGTCTAAACACTTGGTCCTCAGCTGGTAGCACTGTTTTGGAAGATTGTGGAGCTTTTGGGGACTTTCCAGTCAAAGAAAGTGGGTCACTGAGGGTGGACCTTGAGGTCTATTGTTTATCTTTGTTTCTTGTCCTCTCTCTTCATCCTGATCCTCCTAAATATGATCAATCAGCCTCATGCTCACACCACCACAGCAGAGGGTCATTCTTTCTGCCATGTTCTGAAATAAACCTTTCTTCTCTTAGTTGTGTTTTTTCTCAAGAATTTGACCACAGCAATGAGAAACGCTATCCAGAAAATTGCTGCAGAGAAGAGATGCCTGGACCATAGCTGTCACAGTCCTTTGGAACAAGCGTATTAGAAAAGTATGGAAGAGCATGGACGGCTGCAGGCTAAGGAGCCCTCAACTATCCACACGCAAGCTTAAGAGGCCATTCTGATGAGAACTTGACAGACCAAAATACCCATGGGGAAGCATATTGTAAAACTGCGACCATGGGTCTTCAGACAGAAACAGGGCTCTGTCAGAACTAGACCAGAATCCATTTGTGCCACAGTCTGGGAAAGAATCCAGTTGCACACGCTCATGTCCAGAAAACTTAACTGAGACCAAATTCAAATGTGGTGGAGTAGGGGATGGAAAGATGGCTCAGCAGTTCAAAGCACTTGTTGCTCTTGCAGAAGACCCAGGTTTGGTTCCCAGAACTCACATAATAGTTCACAATGATCTATAACTATCGTTCCAGGGGATACAGCATCCTTTTCTGGCCTCCGTGGGCACCAGGCATATGTATGGCACACAGAGATACATGCAGGCACTTACACACATACAATTAAATAAATATTTTAAAAAATTAAGTAGTGAACTAATTTGTTGACTGAATGTTACACTGTCTTCAAATTTTTTCCAGAGTATGGTGTGGTTATTACTCACTGTGTTTGTCCATATTTACTGTGAGAGTGAGCAAATGTGGACAATAAGTTCAATCACTAGAACCCATACAAAGGTGAAAGAATGGATTACATGTACATACACACACATACACACATATATACACACATACACACACCAATATTATAAATAAAAATTTTAAATTAATCTTCAGAATATATCAATTAAACAGAATAAAAGCAAATGTAGTAGCAAGACATGATAAAATACTAGGATAAGCTTATTCATAAGCACAGATGTAATAATCCTAAATAAGATAAACCAATGTACGAACTCAGCAGAAGTACAGCTAATGGGTGTGTATGAACATATGCATGTATGAATGCATATGCACATACACACAACTGAGAGATATGTCAGAACAATTTCCTGTAGTACAATTGTTAGTAATAGCCACAAACAGAAAACTAACTAAATGTCAACCAACAGTTAAATAAATAGATGTTGACATAGCCATTAGCAACCTGAATTTGGTTATCAATAAAAGATTAATGTATTGTAGCCATTTGTGTTTATTCAATAAATGTAAAGAAAGAATCAGTTGACAGAATTAGTATATCAGCAAACAAAAAAAACATATAATCTTGATGAATGCAAAATACATAAAATATAAGCATTATGATAGTTCAAAAGCCTTTAATATGAATAAATGTCTGAAAGCTTCACAGTAATGTCAGACTTGCTGATGAGAGCGTTCTCTGAAGAAGGGGTGAAGAGAAGGTAAAGTCAGAGGGTGGAGAGAGAGGCTGGACAAGTCCAACACAGATCTGACAACCACAAACTCACAGCAGCTGGCTGTGTGTACCAGCCCCTCTGGTTCACAGGACTACAGGCTACTGTCCTGACAACCAACGATTCTGGCACTAAGGGAGGCCGGGTATCCACCTGTGTGCCCACTGGCCATCAGACCAAATTCTGATGGTTGGTTCCAGCTCATGGTCACACAGATGGCTCTGATTAAACTCTGAAGAATGCTAAACAAAACCAAAGTGAGTGAATAGGGAAAAGAGATGGGGTGGGTCCGGTAGAGATGGGAGAAGATAAGAGAGAGAATAACCAGAAAACAGTGTACATGTATAAAACTTAAGAAGAACAAAATTTACTAACAACAAAAAAAAAGATGTAAAGAGACACAAAGCTGCTTATTCATATTATTCACCAAAAGGGCACCAATAACTTTCAAAAGATAGCAAAATTGTTCAGGGTTAGAAGTCAGGACAGTGGATATGGAACCTTTGAAAGGGAGGATGAGAAGAGCTCTGGAGGAGGAAAGAGGGGCTTGGGGATGCTAACATTTATTTTAGACCCATGGTTCTCATTAAAATGTTGCCATGTGTCACTTTTTTTATGGTAGAAAGCCAGGCATGTTAGTGTACACCCTTAATCGAGCACTCGGGAGGCACAGGCAGGCAGATCTCTGAGTCTGAGGACAGCATGGTATACAAAGCAAGCTAAGGCTACACAGAGAAACCCTGTCTTGAAAAAAATGTGAATTTTAATTTTTGGATTATAATATAGCATCTCTCCCTTCTCATTCCTCTCTCCAAACCCTTACATAGACCCCTTCCCTCTCTTTTAAATCCATGGCCTCTTTTATCATTTTTATTACATTCACATATGTGTATATGTATATATACATTTTCCTAAATATAATCTACTCAATCCATATATTACTTGTACGCATGTTTCACTATTATGAATTGCACATCGCTGATACTTTAATACTTCACATTAAATGTAATATAAAAGCTTTATATTTGTATTGTTTTAACACTTTGGGGGGAATGGTTTCAAGACAGGGTTCCTCCCTGTAGCTTTGGTTCCTGTCCTGGATCTCTCTCTGTAGACCAAGCTGGCCTTGAACTCACAGAGATGCACCTGGCTCTGCCTCCCAAGTACTGGGATTAAAGGAGTGCGCCACTGCCACCCAACCTAACAAAATTTTTATTCATGAATGTTTTCTTGATGAGTTATACTGGCTAACTCTCACGATGCTTTAGTGCAAATTCATTGAGTTGACTTTTCCGCCCCTCACCACCTGTATGAAATGAACTGCACTGAATGGTAATTTTTATTAAAGACAAGAAGGAGGTCGATGAGATGGCCAAGCAGGTAAAGGCACTTGCCACCAGCCTGAAAACTTGATTCTGATTCCCAGAATTCACATGGTAGAAGACAACTGGCACCTCAAGTTGTGCTCTGACCTCCATCCCACAGCTATACACACACATATGCTCCCCAACACACACATG